ACTTAAGTCACATAATCCGTACCTGTGACCCATATGTTACACTGTGATAGCATTCTCACCAACTACAGTACCTGATACTAAAAGGGTTAATTCACTTAAGTCACATAATCCGTACCTGTGACCCATATGTTACACTGTGATAGCATTCTCACCAACTACAGTACCTGATACTAAAAGGGTTAATTCACTTAAGTCACATAATCCGTACCTGTGACCCATATGTTACACTGTGATAGGATTCTCACCAACTACAGTACCTGATACTAAAAGGGTTAATTCACTTAAGTTACATAATCCATACCTGTGACCCATATGTTACACTGTGATAGCATTCTCACAAACTACAGTATCTGATACTAAAAGGGTTAATTCACTTAAGTTACATAATCCGTAACTTGTGACCCATATGTTACACTGTGATAGCATTCTCACAAACTACAGTACCTGATACTAAAAGGGTTAATTCACTTAAGTTACATAATCCGTACCTGTGAATGGAAATATATAGCCGCATCAGTTCCGTAAAATCAGGATTATCATAACCAAGCATGGAAGTAAAGTTGGATGACCAGTCCTTTTCGAGATCGACTGCACTTATCGGACTCCCATTCCTGTACAAGTTCTTGTAAATAGTAGCAGCGATTGGAGGGAGTTTAGCAATCAGATTCATGACATCATCAAATGTGTACTGTTAACAGAAACAGTAATAATATTCAATACATGTAAAAAAAATGCACACATAAGTAATTTGGTGGTTAATCAATATGTTTAAGCTTTCTAAAGTTTTAACCACTGTGACAAAAAATCTACAAGTTTCATTCCCTTTGCTACTTGTTAACTTCATCAGTTACATGTAGCATGTAATAACTGTAATTGATATAATCTGGGTCACAAGCAGCTTTTAGTTATGGACCTCATAACACACCAGTGGGTCACAGACATTTATGTTTCAAAGATACATTTCTCTTGCAACATATGATTTTGGTACACCGTGACTGCTTCATGGCACCTCTTGAATGTTTAACTTTTATTACACTTAACTTATTATGCAGCAACCAAGTATTGACAACCAATAAATATTTTATTTCAGATATTGGAGAGTGTGCAAGCACTCTCTACATAAGGATGGCCCATATTAAAGGAATACAAAAGTCTATCTACATTTTCTTCTCTACAAGTCATCAGAAGTTAGATATGAAGAGCTACCTAACACAGTCACTGTATCTCCGATGTATATGCCGCCTATCCAGAGAATCCCAAAGTTGAAATCAGGTGAATAGCCAAAACGAAGATTTAATATTTTTGTTCATCATCTTTCTTCAACAGGCCTAGTGCCTACGTGGTTCTAGCAGTAACTATAATTTTATCATTATTTGATAGAACAAAACAATCTTCATGATCTTTGACTACCTGTTTTATTATTATTCTATGTAATATAAAAAAAATAAATACAAAATCATACTTCTCACATAAATGATGTTATTACCCCTTGAAGTTAGCTTTCTTACAGAAATCTGGTGTTTCTTTAAAAAGCTCAAGTACAGAGTTAAACAGGAATTATCAGCCAATAGTAGATAAACATTAGATGACTAACATGTAGAATACTCAATGCTTTGTACACTATACAATTGGTGTCTTTAGGGAGCCAACCCCGATATTATGTATGAAGTGAAGGAATAAAAAAACCCATCAATACACATACAGGTCATCATAAGCTAGATATGAAGAGCTTCCTGGCATAGTTGCTCTTTCTCTAATGTACATGTCACTTTTCAGCTATAGAGAGCATTCCAAAGTTGAAAACAGACGAACAGCCAAAACCAAGTTTTCTTATTTTCATTCATCATCTTCTTTCTGTAACAGGCCTAGTGCCTGCCTACCTAGTTCTAGCAGTAACTATACTTTTATCATCTTTGATAGAGTAAAACAATCTTCACGATCTTTGACTATCTATTTTATAATTATTCAATGCAAAATTTATAAAGCTTTAGAATACACTATAACTTAGTAACCCAAGTATGCAAAGTATAAGGAAAAAAATTTATTGCTAAATATAAAAGATATGTAGGGCTGGCTACTAAACTTTAAAAAAGGAACCACACAAGATAGGGGTGGAAGTGGACATATCACTTGATCTGGCTAGTGATCACATGTACTAAGCCGTTTTGACTTTACATGGAGAATAAAATCCCTAAATTGCTGGCTTCCTCACTGGCAAAACAAATAGAACCGGAACTTCCAATCATAAAATGTTATAAATAAACTTAGAATACTGAAAATTGTTTAATCTCAAATTCTAAGTTCAAGAGAGGTCCAGTTTAATTTACACTTTGCTATGTGATCATTAGCCGGATCAAGTGATATGTCCACTTTCATCCCTATCTTGTTTGGTTTCTTTTCTCAAGTTTAATAGCCAGTCCTACATTTTTTTTATTATTTAGTGATAATGTTTTTCTTAATACTTCTGTATCGGAACTAATACTGTTATGAATCCATGCAGTACTCTTCTTGTTAATTAAAAAAACAAAAAACAAATGGAGCACGAGACAGAAAAAAACAGATAAAAGAACTCACCTCCCAGTACATATTCTTAGAAACTCCATCAGCATAAGCCTTTGCAAATTTACTTTCTGTATTACAAGCCATGATAGCAGCAGTGAACTGTGACATCGGGTGAAGGTGTGCAGGAAAATTGTTGAGCATTGTTACTACGTGAGGTGGTATTTCAGCTTTTTCTGCCCACATTTTGGACACAGACCTCACCTTGACAAAAATGTTTACAAGAAAATAATACTTTAAAAAATTTTCTACATTCCCCAATAAACTAGTCATTTTCACTTTCCAAAAGTTAGGAATTAAAGAGTTCTGTACAGTATACTTGTACTCAGCAGACTTGTTTTAGCATCCACCAAATAAAACATTTTACATAACAAATAATTATTGCAAATATTAAATGCTAAACACATATACATATATTTATATACCCATATAAAACAGACAACACACACGCATCTGTCTTGCGTAAAGACATGAGCATATATACATTAACCGATCTACACAAACCATCCACACAACACTATCTGTGATTAGATATTTTTACTGCAATATGAAACAATTCTAATTATTGTGCATTTTGACTGGGAGTTTTCAAAAATACTTATGAAAAAAATACACATATTCCAAAAATTGCTATAACATTTTAATCATAACTGTTTTTTCAATTTCCTTGATAACACTTTCAACAATCACAGCATATAAATGAACAAAGAAACTATACCAACAGAAAAAATATTAACACATAAACTTTCTTTTTATCATTAAGGATACAACTCAAGTAAACATTTTATTTTATGATTATCATTTTGCTCCTATAAAATTATTTCTACAATAAAGTAACTCACTGAATCAATATCAATACAAGTTACATCTTTTTATTCAGGACAACGATTATTGTAGCACACACACTAGTCGCATGCTACAGGACAACAATTATTGTAGCACACACACTAGTCGCGTGCTACAGGACAACAATTATTGTAGCACACACACTAGTCGCATGCTACAGGAGGTATATGTATAAATTAAAAAGTAAAGATATAGCTGATTGCTATGTTTATCATAAAACAACTTTGTGCATTTAATGTGGGTGATCAAATTTCGAGACTGGGATTTCATTAGTTATTTTCATTTATATTATTATAGCAATATTCTAGGATTTAAAATAATAAGATGGTTTATGTTGTTTCTCATGTACTTAGCATGAGACTAGTGTGTGTGTGTGTACTACAATAATCATTGTCCTGTAGCATGCGGCTAGTGTGTGTGCTACAATAATTGTTATTTATTTTAGCTAACATATTACTAATTTAGGTAATACGTTACTTTATTCATACCCATCTTATATGTTACCCTACACTAATCAAAGAGAACAGTTATAAACCATGAGACAATGTTTCCATTGCAAATAATTTATGGATTTCACCTCCTCAGCTGATGGTACTTCTCCTGTAAGAAGGAGCCAGAACAATCCTTCTGGAAGAGGTTCATTTCCTCCAGGAGACTTGGGTAGCAACTTCTTGATCTGAGGTATTGTGAAGTCTCGAAATTTAATACCATCCTCTGGATGCAAGTATGAAGTTTCAGTTACCAAGCCTCTGATGCCTCTCATTCCTCCATATACCTGTATTAATAAGTAAGAATAACATCAGAAAATTTAAGTTAAAACTTTTCTACGGTATTTTATACAGCAGCACCATATACCAAAATTAAATTTGGGAATATACGTATGCAAAGAAATACTAGATTGGACAAGTAAATGTAACATGAATACCATTACCATATATAAATTTAAGCAAGACATTTTTCTTTCACTCAAAATACACCTACTTCTGACAAAGAAGAGTACTGTTCAACCTGTTAGGTCATTTTGTTCTTATTTTTACAGTCACTTTGACATCTTACTTCAAAATTCACAGATATTAAAATAACTTAAGGCAAGAACTAAACTACATCATACTTATAAACATCCCATTGTACTTATTCCTAAACATATATAAGGATTCAAAACTATTAACTAATAATTCACACAACTGTCTTTTTATATAATACATATGGAAAAGATACAAAGTTTGGTTATTATGGCAAGAAAACAGTAACTTCAATGGAGTACTGAAATAAAACTTAATCTAATGTTAAATTACTCAATTTATACTTAAAAAAAAAAGGTAAAGTATTTGTAATGTATCGGTGTTACTACAAATAATTGCTAAACAAGGAGTTTAATAAACATTATAACGAATTTATATCTCAAATCTGCGACACTTTAATGTATTAATATCAGAAATCTGTAACACTTTAACGTATTAATATCTGAAATCTGTGACACTAATGGAAAAATAATTTATAAGTTTGTAGCGTACTAAATTATTAGTAATGTCCTAATTTCTGACATTTTAACACTTTAATGTGTATAGATTTTGAGACTTGTGACACTAATACACTAATTTCTGGGTTAGTTTGGTTTGTTTTGAGTTTTGTGCAAAGCTACATGAGGGCTATCTGGAGTAGCCGTCCCTAATTTAGCAGTGAAAGACTAGAGGGAAGGTAGCTAGTCATCACCACCCACCAGTAACTTTTGGGCTACTCTTTTACCAACAACTAGTGGGATTGACTGTCACATTATAATGTCCCCATGGCTAAAAGGGTGAGCATTTTTGGTGGAATGGGTATTCAAACCCGCAACCCTCAGATTGCGAGTCAAGTGCCATAACCATATGGCCATCCCGAGCTGCCTGAATTGGTAAAACTTTAATGTACTGATTTTTGAGAATTCAACACTTTTATATCCAAAAAAGCTAAATAAGAAATCAACTCTGTTAAACTAAATCATTAAGAGATTGTTCAGAGTAAACTATTAATTCTATCGCACAACATAAACTTGTATGTATGTCGATGTCAGAAAAAATTATGCATACAGTTACTGGTGCTTCAACCTTTGCATCAGTATCTACATATTTCAAGAAACTAACATCCAAGCACAGACAAAGCTAACTTACTAAAAAGAATTAACAATGTACCGTCATATTTAAAGAAAATGCTTTTTTCCACGTGGTTTTTTTATATTAGCATTCCACTGGAAAAACACTTTTTGCAGTATTATCTATTTCACAAATTGCTTACTCAAAATGCCACAAGTTGGAATAATATATATGTATATATATACTGTACTTCGCCATAATTTTCTGGGGAAAAAAAAAGATATAAACAAGACAGAGATAACACCAGATAACAATGTTTATCATTATTTATCAAAGTTAGAAAAACAAAAATAACCAGAATTTTATTACCCACTTAAAAGTAGAATCAAACTGATAAATCATCCATACGTTTGATTTACGAACTTTATATGGCCATAATGTCCAAAGTTGGCCTAGTGTAAATAACGGTGTGGGAGATAAAGCTTATCCATATAGTATATTCTGTTGATGTTTTGTTGCAATTATTTTTACATCACTATCATTTTTTAATGTAAGTTCCCAGACAATATTTGACATATATTTTATTCACCAGTTACACTGCAAATGTAATCTTTACAGAATATTTCTAATGTCTTGGTGGGGGGTATGAAACTTCCGATGAATAATAATGTTAAGATTATTCAACTTGCAAGTACGTCGGCTTCTACATTTTTAGTCTCCATTTACAAAAAATATCTGACGAGAAAATAAATTAAGTTACATTATTTAAATTGAACCTAAGTTTCTTTTTTAGTTTATTTTAATTTTTTTTTCTTCAACAGGAGTAATATAATTCAACAATTTTTAAGATTTATGGAGTACAAGGAGATAATTTTTAATAACTGTTCAAACCATCAACTTGTT